TCAGCTTTCCTGTCACACAGTGGTGATCATAATGTATAGGGAGGGTTGTACCAAGAAGAAAAAGAGCTGCATATGCAGTACCTAACACAATGCCTGCCAAATGGTAAGCGTTCAGTCAAAGTGAGACTTTAAAGAACTTGCTGTTCTGATGAAGCTGTGTATGAGGCAGGGAATGCTTCAGGGAGTGCCTGGAATCTGTAGGCAGAGCGTGATTGCTTATACCCGGGAGCTGACTCTGTTTGATGGAGTTGGTAACCTTGATAGAGATAAACTTGGTTTACTGACTGTGAGCACCTTTGGGTCTAAATAGTTCCTACTGCAGATATAGATTATTTGTGTAAATTCATCATCATAGTAATGAAAACACCACACCTAAAATGTCTGTATCCTGCAGGAAATTCCATTTTGGACTCATGAAAATCCTAGCTGGCTCACCAATAAGCAGGTATTACTCTCTTTTAGGAAGCTAGCTGGCCAAAGGAAGCTCTTCCATGATTGCTGTATTTGTTCTGTGTGGTCCAATCTCCTCATCAGAATTTTCTCTTTTGTCAAGAGAGAGTATTATTCTAATTTTACAATGAGTACATACAGTTTTCCCACAAATAGGAGGCTCACCTGAGATGGTGCAATGAATATTCATATGTCATTTATTAGGAGTTACCAAAATACAATCCATGATACAGGTTGATTTCAATTATATTTCTTAGAGAATAAACTAAAAACAGATGAAGAAATACTAATGGTGAATAAATATATGAAAAAATGTTCAACATCATTAGTCATTCAAGAAATGCCAATTAAAATAACACTGAGATTTCATCTCACCCCAGAAAGAATGGCTATCATTAAGAAATCAACCAATGACAAATGCTGGAGAGGCTGTGGGGAAAAAGGAGCACTTCTCCACTGCCGGTGGGAGTGTAGACTGGTACAGTCACTGTGGAAATCAGTGTGGAGATTCCTCACAAAACTAGGGTTGGAAGTCCCATTTGACCCAGCTATTCCCCTTCTGGGTATTTTTCCAGTAGAATTAAAAACATACCACAGCAATATATGTGCACCCATGTTTATAGCAGCACAATTTGTAATAGCTAAATCTTGGAAACAACAGAAATCCCCATCCACTGAGGGATGGATAAAAAAGATGTGTTGTTTTCATACAATGGAGTATTACTCAGCTATATAAAAAACATAAACTCGAGGCTTTTATAGGTAAATGGATGCAACTAGAATCCATAATCATAAGTGAAATAAATAGGATCCATATGTGTAAACATCATATTATCTCCCTAGTGCAAGACCATGAAAGACTAAATAAACCCAAAATGTATAATAGATAATATGAAAGGGAAAGAAATTGCACAAAGAAAGGAATTGGGATGAGGGAAAGAAGAAAAAGAAAGAAAGTTTTAGATATCTATCTATCTAGCTATCTATACATAGCTAGCTAGCTAGCTAGCTAGCTAGATATAGGTAGCTGGCATAACTACACTACTGATGCTTGGTGGTTTGTTGAAGGGAACAGTTAGTGCTTGAATTTTCTTTATATTTTGGCCTGTTTTGCATGCTTGTATCTGGTAATCTGAGCAACTGATGTAAAGACAACAATATGCAATATGTCAAGCATTAGTTAATTCCTACCATCCTGTCTAGTGAGACTCTGTATTGTCTCTTATGTTTTTTTTTTTTTTTAATTATTGCTCTTATTCTCTGTAGTGGTTTGATCAGTCTTCCAGTCCTGCATCTGGTAATCCAAGCAACTTTGTTGATGATACTAATGTGTAATAGAACAATCACTGCTAGTCCCTATCATTTGGTTTGAAACCTCATGTCATTTTTAATGTTTTTGCTTTGCTTTTTTGGTATTTTTCTATTGTTCTCTTTTTTACTACTCTCTTTAAAATAAAATAAAAAAATAAAAAAAATTAACTTCCATACATACATTCAGCTATCTGAATGCTAACTTGTATCTACTAGCAGGCAACATGTCTTACTTTGTACACTCAGAACCATTTTAACAGCCAGTACCAGCTATGTCTCTTACATGTACCTATTCCCTGCCCTCTCCTGCCCTTGGTCTGCAGATCAGGCTCCAGAGCACTATGATCATAGGTGATGAAATAAGCCTCCAAGATCCGCCATGTAAGCCTGCTCTTTCATTCCTTGGTCTAATTTTGCTTGAGGATATAGAAATACGTTACAAAGAGAATTGAGAATAAGCCAGAATTCTGTCATTCCCTGTACCTTATTTTGATAATAATTTCAAAATCCAGTGTAGAAACTGAGTCCTGGGAAAGGCCAACATAATAGAACCACAGCATATTTTTCCAGAACTGTAGCAACTCGAAAAGATGAGAAAGAAAGAAAAATCTAAAAATATTCTATTCAATAATTCTTAGAGTTGAACTAATGAAGGCCAAAAAGAAAAATTCCTACAAGTGGACATCACTCAAGCCAAGGAGATTAGCATAGGAACATCTACCCAATATAACTGTTTAGAAAAGGTCTGTACACAAAAACATAATTTAACATTTCTCACATAAGAATAAATCACTATTATTTGCATTCCAGGAAAACATTAGAATTTCTAAGATACAGTATGTAAAGTGAAAGTCATGTATAGCCAGTGCAAGCATATTTCCCCTTGGGACAAGAATGGTGCAAATGAACATTTGAGGGCTCCTGTCACTCTGTAAGTGGAGAGTCTTACTTCTTTAATATCACATGGGATGCATGGAGAGTAGCAATCCCTATGACAGGAGGAAAATGAGTTAAATTTTCTTATTATGATAAACATTTAAAATATAAATAAAGTGTTGACATCAGCAGAAAAAAAGTTTGAAGCCATTGTTGAAGGGAAGAATGCCAATTGTGTTTTTTAAAGAGACATAAAGGAATTTATTAGACACAAATTTAAAAGTACACACTTTCCCAGGTCTGGGGAGACTGAGGCAAGATGATCACCACAAGTTCAAGGCCAGCCTGAACTACAGAGCAAGACTCCTTCTCAGTTGCCAGGTGTGGTGGTACACACCTAGCCAACTCTATTTTAAAGATATGTTCAGAAGAAAATCCCATTATTTAACCAAGATTTTAGCGTGCTATTGTTTAATTTTGTGTATAAAATTAAACATACTCTTTGTAATGGCTGATATATTATGTCAATTTGAGAAGTTTAGATGTTTAACTAAGCAGCTTAACAGGGGGCCAGGGCCCCCACTTTGTAAACATCCTCATCCTGAGCAAGAGGAGGGCACAAATATGGTGTGAGTGCTACACCCACGCCAGGGATGGGTAGTCTACTTATAAGTCTTATAAGTCTACTTATAAGATAAAGATAAGTCTTATAAGTCTACTTATAAGATAAAGTAGGAAAAGAGGTTTGCTCTTCCCCCACTTTTGCTCTTGTTTTTGCTGTCTTCTGCCACCTTGAACTGTTGCCCCTCACCATGCCACTCTGTCTTGGAGACAGCTGATTACAGACTAAAACCTCCACAAGCTGAGAGCTAAATAAACCTTTCCTTCCTTAATTGTGGACACTGAGAAGTTTGTCTCAGCAAGGAGAGAAAAGGAACAAAGACACTCCTTTTAAAGTTTACTTTTGGGTATGCAACAAATTGATGATTTATAATTCAAGTGATATTTAGATTAATGTTTGTATTAGGAGTACCTCTATAGTATCTAGTTAATTATTTCCAGGTTAGTAATTTAGCACGAAGGAATACTACAAAATGTATTTGATAAACTACTTCTTTTTTATCAGTAAAATGTCTTTAAACCTGGAAAGAGGAAATGTGTATCTATCAATAACTGAACACGGTAATAGTGATGTTTATATTTCATCTCTTTCCTCCATTTTACATTTACTTTTACTTTAAGTGTGCTACATATTTATCAAAGAGAATTAAAATACACACAAAAAAAGTGAAAACTTATCTTCCTAAACATATCCATTTTTAACTTGTTGGCATATTTTTAAATCCAGGCTTAGCTTTTGAAGTAACTTTCAGTAAACCAGAGCACACGCAAGCATTCTTCTAATTACAAGGCTATTAATATTTAGACACACATAAGAAGTGAATACTAACATGCATACTTATGGTAAAATAGGTAGATATTGAAATAAAATGTGTTGAAATAACCTTCCTCACAGAAAAGAATATCATAGCACAACATTCCTCCCCTTAAATTTATAAATCGCCTAATTTAGATTAGAATTTATATAAGATTTAACCATTTTACTTAACATTTGTTTTCAATATGCTTTCATTATGGCGTCACTGAATCCAGAATGAGGAAAAAAAGACAGAGATCGGGCA